AAACGATGTCATTTTCAAACTGTTTTAATTAATCAAACCACTGCCATCACTAACTAACAAACAAAGCTTGTGCAACAAAGACCCTGTCCATCCCTGCCTTGTAATAACTTCCACTGCTATTACTTTTCTGCCATATTGATAATAGAAAAAAAAAAAAAAAAAAAAAAAAAAAAAAAAAAAAAAAATTATATTATGTCATTATCTCGAGACAAGAAAAAGAAAAGACAACAGTTAATGACATCTGACATACAGCAATCACAATTTAGAAAACTGCAAAACTATAAACCCAAAAAATGCACACTTACTCTTGACCCTGACAAACATTACGCGTTCATACTTCTGGTTCTTGGAGATGATGGTACATGAGTAATTCCCCCTGTGTTCCAGCTTCACACCAGCCAATTTCATCTGGCCATTTGGCATTGCCTTGTCATTCGGCTGGAAGGACACCGCCAGACTCTCGTTCTTGGCACTGGTAAGAAGCTCATTGTCTGAAATCATAAGCCATATCTGAAGTTCCACGCTTGTAAATAACAACAGTAAGCTGGTGATTTAATGAGCAAGAAGAATCTAGGTGCATAATGTTCCTGAGGATAATTTTTTGCAGTAAATTCTGCATATGCATTGGACCAATGTACTTTTTTATTAATTTTTCTGCAGGTGGAAAATTGCATTAAATTATCCCTGACTGAACTTTTAAAACTCTCAAAGGAAACATAAAAGGAAAAAATCATGAAAAGATACCTTTGTACCACTCAATGCCTGGGGGTGGATGACCTTCAACTGGGCAATCTATGATGAGGTCCCCTCCTTCTGTAACAACCTTTGACTTATCCATCTTTCTGATTTCCAAAACTGAAAGATGAACATTTACCATTAGAATAACTCTGAGACTATATGATGACCCACTTATATACCACAAACTGGCAGCAATGAAAATTTCTTTCACTCAACTTTTTATTCCACTTTTTCCTAACATCATTTACATATCAACTCACAGATAACTTGAATAATTTTGTGGAGAGGATCTCCAGCAATGGCCCCGGCTGTCTGGCACTTGTATTCTCCAACATCCTCTTTCATCGGTTGTGCTATGTAGATTGAGGAGTTCTCCTGGAAGATTTTGAGCCGGTCGTCACTGTCTATACTCACGTCATTCTTGAACCTGGAAAAGAAGAAGATGAAAGAAATGTCAACAGATGCAAGGACAGTATGCCTGCCACAACACTAATTCACATGTAGCCCACTCACTTGATTCATAAAAGTAATCAACCTTATTCATACCACTCTAACTCAAGCGTTGTGCTCTCCACGTTGGTCATATTACAGGATATTGATAGTGGAAAGCCGAGAAACAGCATCTTGATAGCATCTCCACCAGTTGAATCAACTACATGGGGAAAGAGTAGAAATGTTTTATATGATTATTAATTTTTGGCAATATCTACAAACAAAACATTATCTGTTAAAAACACAGTAAAAATCTGAAATCCGTTAATGCAATTATATCTCGATTTTCTTTTTGCACTAATAGTACACACACCTAGGCTAACACCACCAAGTTTCTAGTCACAAATACAATAAAAATGGAGATCCTACTGTCAGATTCCTTGTCTTTGAAAATGATTTCTGATTTTTCCAATACACTTTATCATATCAATGTAACATTCTCACAAACAATTTTTTCATGCATCTATAGGTTAACTGAGTGGAAAGAGAAACTATGAAACACACACTTAAACTTCCACTGACTTTGTGCAGTTTTTCAGCAGTACTACTATAATGCAATATTTGTCAGTATTAAGTGTAATGATGTGGATGCAATCCCATTGCAATATAATGAAATTACAGTTCTGCATTATACTGTTAAATTAGATGATAGAGATGTACATCATAAAGTCTTAATGTAAAATGACCCACACTTAGCTACCTGACTCTTCATTATTTTTCGTACTCCCCACTTTTCATTCATATTAACCCATTGCCGCCGGGGATGGCATGTACGTACATGCCATGCCCACTGTGAGTCAACTTGTTTGATTGTTTTTACACATAGATGGCTACACTTGTACTAAGTATCCAATGAGCCAATTACAAGTACTGCCTGTCTCGCCCGTTCACCCTTTTCATCGATTTACGAAAATATTTAACGTTGTCCTAATTTGCTGTTAAAAATAACACCATCTATATTTATAGCACTAGTAAAAATACGTTTTTTTCTCGCCAATTCGAGGAAAGGTGAAATCAGGACTAGCAGAGCCATCTATGGGCAGAGATATTTCACATAAAATATAAAAAATGAGTGCAGAATTTTCCCCATTTTTTGTTAATTTTCCCCGGCGGCAATGGGTTAAGAACTGAATGCCAAAACTAAAACCTATCCTGTGTATAACGGGTATTCCTGCCATGACAAGACTAATCACGAATAGGGGTAGAGGCCTTTAGCAAGAGTAGTATCACATTATGAAAATCAAATGAAAGATCACAAATACTGTATACAGAAGTTCCTTATAATTTTCTCCTGACTGACCATGGAGGGAATCACTTACTCCAAAGGTTTGGTCTGGGCCACTGAGCAGCATGAGGACCATTCAGTAAGAAAGCACTCCATTATGTAATCAAAAAGTGGGAAAAAGGTATAATATTGAAAAAGAGAGAGAGAGAGAGAGAAAAAAAAAATCCAAACAGAAGTAAAGAAATTGATTTGAATTTTCCATACACACAGAAGAAGAAGAGAAAACCAGATAATATCTTATGATTCTGATAAGTATATATATGTACATAAAAAATTTAATCATATGCAAATTACAAGTTCATGTATATGATAAACTCTCTTGCAATCTAGCATGGGTGATGATGATTATGATATAATAACTATAATGACATTTCCATGACTATAAATACCTAGCTTCTGTTTTTGTTTTTCAATATTCTGTATTTGGAATATGAAGCAAGACAAGACAGCGAAAGGAGTCTTTACAATAGAGTGAGTATTATTTCAGGGCAGGATAATGTCATTTTCTGATACTCTGGCACCAGCAGTTAACACACACTGTTGCTCTGAATAACTATCAAACTTTTCTGTAAACTGCATATGCAGTCTGTGTTTATAAAACTAAAACTACAATCATAATTCTCTCCAAAGTCATTGTCATTTTTTTAAAGTTATGCTTTTCCTGTATAATGAAAAATCAACCTGGATCTTAACATGCTGAAATTAATGCAAAGTAGGTGTAAAACCATAACTGTATCAAGTGATGGCCATGGGCTTTCATCACCCACTCTCTTAATGTGTTTTCCTTAATCTTCTTTTTCTATATCCAGTAAACAATATCTATACATGATTTCACATAACACTGCTACTTCACTCATATCAACAAAGTTATATCCATCATAATTTTGCAAGTCCTGAATTGACTCAAGCTTAGACAAGACACTCATTGTGTAATGCCTGAAAATATGAACTATCATTATTTATCAATAGCTAAGCCAAGCTTCTCTGCCAGGTTCCCAGACATTATCCTCTCCATCTAGTCCATATGTCTTCCATTACTTGTTATCTTTAAACCTTCCTCCCTTTGTCTTAGATTTGTAAAAAGTCACTGCTTGCAAGCAACACATCAGATAGACAGAATTTAGACCTCCCATCAGGCAGACTGACTAAGGGTAAATACCTCACTACTTCTTAGGCAGCCTCCCATAGACTAACTCTTGTATTTCTCTCGCCAAAAATAAAATCAATCTAGAAGACAGTTGTTTCCTGTACCCTACCACCTTCCTAGACATCGGGGCCTCTGTTGGACTGTACCCAAATCTGGCAAAGCTCCTTCAATGTCATGGCTAAGCCTACCATGGCTAATTCTATAAACTTTTTCTGATCTTTTAAGCCCCGCTCTGTTGGTCTGTAAAATTCTAGATGAAAAATGGTTAGGGGGACAGGCAGCATACTTACTAAAAATTATAAATATAAAATATCTTTAAAATCCAAAATAAAATATCTTTCAAGACCCAAAATGAATTTTAGGGGCATTATTCTGCTTGTTATCCAAAGGGTTTAAATATTCACATGCAATTATCTGAAAGCATATTAACACATTGGATTCAGGTGATGAAGTCTTGCTCTGAAAAAAATTGAAAATTTGGCCAAAGGGCAGATCACAGCAATGTCTTGTCACCAAAAAAAATTTGGCCGAGGGACAGATGATAGGAATGAATAAATACAACATATATAGATTGTTATCACTTTGAAATGACTATTGGTCATATAATGAATCTGACTATAGTGTTGGAAAGCTTATAAATCGGTTTCTAGCAGTATATTGTGTATATATACTTGTTTGAAATAAATTTTTTCAACTTGGTAGATTCTATTGTTACTATGTGTATGTTTTTATCTTTACACATGTATTTTCTTTGTAATGAAGAAGAATAACCTATAAAGCCAGTGGCATGTTTTAAGCTAATAAAATACATTGTTATGGGTGACAGAAAAAAAACAATACATAAACTACCACCATGCACTGTCTGGCCTGCCCAGGCAGTCTGGGAGCTGTGAGTATGAAAACAGAACCTTACTGTGTTTGTGAAGTTGATGGTAGCAATATTAACTCAGTATCAACAGCATCATAAAAGTGTAATGCACACCTATATTACTAATTACAGAAGGAAATACCATTTACACAATAAAACATTATCACAATCATAATTATAATGGACAAATCAAATAAATAGATATAAAGTAGGAACTACAAGTTTTCATAATATGCAGGCCAGAAATTATGGTTCTCAGATAGATATAAACAGTACTGTCTCCATATAGTATGCAACATTATGAATAACCAAGGCTTTTCATTGGTGTCTTCCACTATTCCTCTATACCATCAGGACTGATCAGTGAAGACCTGAGGTGCTGCACTGCCAATATTAGCATACTTTACATTAAAATATACTAAAGGCTTTTAAAATTTTGTAAATGCTGTTCTGGAGATTATATCCTGGAAAGATATACAGATATAAAGAAATAAAACACACAACCCTATTATAAATCTGGGAGGATCACGATGAGATTCACGTACAGAGTTTACACATTCGAAGTCAACAAAGTTAGAAAAAGGTCCCATGCACATCACACCAAACACAACTTACCCATACTCTATAGGCCAGCTTATAGGCAGGCAGGACTTCTTACCCTAAGACAACCCTCACCCTCTTCTTGGTTTTAATTATACAAATTATGTTATGTTATTGCCATTGATTTTGAATTATTGAAAGGGGGAAAAATGCTGAGTGTATCTAATGTAATCGGTAGCATATCATGTATATTTCTAAAACATATTTCTAACATATATCATTTTTTTTTTTAAACCTAATCCATGAATTTTTTATCATTATAAAATAAAAAATGACATACATCTTAACCTGTCTTTTTTGTATAATATAATACACAGTTCACAAAATATCAATGAAACAAAATTATTTCTAAGTTAATTCATACTGCATATCAGAATCCAAACTGACTTCAAACTGGTATAACTTTAGATCAGTGGTTCTTAATCAGAGGGTGCATCCCCTAGGGGGTGTCAGTGGTTTCCAAGGGGGACGCGAGCCCCTGGGAAAAAACAAGAATTTCTCAAATTACATTTGTTATTCTCTTAATGAGAGCAGAGCCAAGTAATGAGATAACTAATAATAATGTTGGTAAATCATACTCAATACAACTAAGACCATATTTTAATTTTCATTAAAATCTGGAATGTGATTTTATTCCTAGATGCAAGGGGGTGTGGAGGGAAGCACAGAGTCCTAGAGGAGGCATGGAAGTAAAGGAGTCAAGAACCACTGCTTTAGATGTTCAAAAGGTGCATCATCATTCGTGTCTATCCTTTTAAATAGACTCTAAAAAAACATCAATAATTAAATAAAAGCTGCTTTAACCATGGTTCAAATCGTTAAAATGCCTAAAGTACGTAATTTTCAAAAGACAATTTTAGATATTTAAACACTGTATTCGGGGATATTTAAAAATTAAGCAGTCACTTTAGTTACATTATTTAAACTAAATTGATGCTAATAAATTATTTAAACTAATATCAACACACAAGGCATTATCACACACAAACTATGTCCTTTAGCTGAGGTGAATGTAGTTTCTCTTCGTAACACAAAGAAGAGCGTGTTGGTAAGAATTAATTCATAAATAAAAATCTGTTTATGTCACAATTTTCTAATTCATGTTAGGAGCAACAATTTAAACATGAGCATATTCATATATCGTGTGTCTAATCAATCAAGAAAAAAGAGGGAAAGGGGGGGGGGGGGGAAGCAAGAGAGAAAGATAGAGAGAAAAATATCAACGTGTAACTTGAGCTGACCAGAATGTATGTTAACCTCTAATTAATAATAATTGAAAATGATCAAACATCTGATAAGAAAGTTTCTTCTTTAACTATGAGCAGCAATAACATCATAACTTAATATTGCTATCAGTGTCTATGAGGTGATATCACTTTCAGCCAAAAATCTATAACCTCTCAGTTACGAGTCTGATGGAAGGTGTCCTGCCAGAGTACATAATAATTGCTTTGGTATACATAGCTACATCATATGACATTTTTTTCTTTAGTTACCGTTACTGATACTGAATCCACAATTACAAATAGAAAGGTTAAAACAATTTATGCTTTTGAGGTCAGTTCCTTACAAAACATGTGCTTTCAATGCAAGGTCAGTGGCCTAAAAATTACATGTAAACATATCTAACAAATGCTAAACATTTTTTTTTGAAGTTCTGTTGTTCTAAGAGAGCCTTTATATACTCCTAAAGTTGAACAATCTAATGGCTGTTTGTTTCCTTGGGATCAATACAGTTTCTGGAATTCAAACAAAATGCTCAACAGTGCAAGCATTCTTAAATAAGTAAATACATACATCAAGATTAAATAAACGAAAAGGATCTCTCTAAAGGTACAGACATTTTCTGAATTATCCAAAAATGTAGATACAGAATTTACAATCCCATACCCAGAACTCAAGAATATATTGCAAACTTCTCTATTTTCTATAAGAATTTATAGATGCAGCTAAATCTTACCAAAACAACCATAAATTAACAACTCATCAGACTGTTTGTACGTGGATGCAAAGCAGCCATATTAACTTTCTTATGTGTCTTTCCTAAATTTTTCAAGTTTTTAAGGAAGAATCAGAGAGCTTAAAACTCCAAACATTATGAAACATTATGACATAAACTTTTAACCAAAAAATAAAACACACAAATTATCACTATCATAAAATATTTCACACCAAAACCATAAAGTCTAAACTTTCAATTAGAAAGCAGAGGTAAAAGACCAGAGAGAGTGTTATAAAAGCTTGTTGAGAAAGGAATGAAGGTGAGGATAACTTAAAAAGTGAACACCAAACAAAGGATAAAACGTGGGCTCTATCATGACAACCAAACTAACACTGGCAGAAAAAAAAAAAAAAACAACATTCAGGAAA